GGACACATGTTTCCATTTCTTTTTTTTTTAAAGATTTTATTTATTTATTTGACAGAGACACAGCGAGAGAGGGAACACAAGCAGGGGGAGTGGGAGAGGGAGAAGCAGGCTTCCCGCGAAGCAGGGAGCCCGATGCGGGGCTCGATCCCAGGACCCTGGGATCATGACCTGAGCTGAAGGCAGACGCTTAACGACTGAGCCACCCAGGCGCCCCATGTTTCCATTTCTTTTGGGTGTATACCTAGAAGTCGAATTGCTGGTTAAATTTAGAGTTACCGACCGGGTAACTCTAAATTTACCTTTTTGAAGCCCTTCCGACTGTTTTCCAAAGCATTTCCATTTCCATTTTACCTTCCTACCGGCATTGTTTGAGGGTTCTGATTTCTCCATGTCCTTGTTACACCTTGTTACCATGTAGCCATTCTAGTGGGTGTCCGGTGGTATCTCACTGTGTTTTGTCATTTTAGAAAAGGATCAAAGCCATCCATGTATATGGTGTAAAAAGATAAGGCTTAAAGAGTAAATGCCCCATCTCTCTCCAGAACCATTTCCATGAGGCAGATACTTTGAAATTCCTTCAGCGGTTTCTTCTGGTATTTATCTTCAATTCCTGGTTATAGGCTTCTACTGCTGCTTCTTAAGGTCAGTTTCCAATATTCTCTCTTGACTTCCACCTCTGGAGGATGGGCATTCCGCTCTCTTCTCCCCAGGTGCACGGACACACACTCACTGTATCCTTCCATCTTCAAAACAGGATTATAATCTCCATGTTGGGATAAATCGGTAATTGGCACTTACACTGCTATGACTACGTATTCACAGCCGTGTGGTGTGCGGAGATCATATTTACTTCATCATACTTTAACCCTTGGATGGCAGATGACATAGAGCAAAAATCTGCCTCTTTTCTTCATTGCCACAGTTTTCTGCATATTAATTACTACTTCACCCTCAAATTCTGCAAGAAAACTAAAAATCTCTGGGCATATTCAAACACATGGATATTCCACTGTGTCTTTCTTGGTCCTTTCCTGTTTTTGTTTTTGGTTCTGGGAGACATTCCTCCAGGGCTCTCCGCTCTCCTGCTCTCACCGGGATGGCCTGGTTAGGGGCTTACTGCATTGCTGGGGCCCTGGGACTCCCCTTCATCGTCCCAACTTCTCTCCTCAGTGGCCTCGCCTGCTTCCTGGATCCCGTGTCTCCCTCTAAGTTTTATCCCTCAGTTTACAACAGCATATCTTCCAGTAGCTTCTTTATTCCTCCATTCCTGCCTTCTTTTGTGTTAAATAGATATTTTTAAGGGTACCACTGTAATTCCCTTGTTTCTTTTAGGGTTTTGTTTTGTTTTATTTTCTTAGTGATTGCACTGGTGATTCCAGTTAACACCTTAACGTAAAATAACCTAGGTTAGACCAATACCAACTTCATGTCAATAGCATACAGAGTTGTTTATGGCTGCTTTCATGCTACCACGGTGGAGGTGAGTAGTTGTGACAGACCGTGCATACGTAAGGGCTGCGAAGCCTAAAACTTCACTATCTGGCCCTTGATGGAAAACCCTTGCTGATCCAATCCAGTGCCCTGATCTTTCGTGATCCCATTTTTGGGATCGTTTCTCCTCTGAGCTCCCACTGGGTTTCACCTTTCTTTTTTTTTTTTTTTCAAGATTTTATTTATTTGAGAGAGAGAGAATGAGAGAGAGAGAGAAAGCACATGAGAGGGGGGAGGGTCAGAGGGAGAAGCAGACTCCCTGCCAAGCAGGGAGCCCGATGCGGGACTCGATCCCAGGACTCCAGGATCATGACCTGAGCTGAAGGCAGTTGCTTAACCAACTGAGCCACCCAGGCGCCCATGGGTTTCACCTTTCTTGAAACCAAAACGTTAACTGCACGTGCTAAGGAACCGAATGAAAGGGCACAACACAGTATCAACAAAGTGTGAAAACCTCCTCGTGCATCTGTATTTCAGATGCTCAAGACGCCATCCATCGTGATCTAAGAAGTCCAATCCTTCAACACGAAATGTCTCTGAGGATAATGACTACTGATTCAAACCTGCGCATGTCTGCGGCTGGTTTCCTCCTCACTGGGTCTTGGGCCCCAGCGGTGCATCGCCACCCATGTGTTCTGTGCTGGGCAGGGCTTGTGTCTGTCTGACCAGCATCCACTTTGATTTTTTTTAAAAGATATTATTTATTTATTTGACAGAGAGAGAGAGAGAGCATAAGTACGCAAAGCGGCAAGCAGAGGGAGAGGGAGAAGCAGGCTCTCCGCTGCGCAGGGAGCCCGATGCGGGGCTCGATCCCAGGACCCCGAGATCATGACCTGAGCTGAAGGCAGACGCTTAACCCACTGAGCCACCCAGGCACCCCGAGTTCTTTGATTTGTATTTGACACCAGGGATGGGGATGCGACATGGGGCACGGTGTGGGTGGGCACCGTTGTGGGTGGGCAGCTGCCCGGGACCACTCCCAGGACGGGCCCACCTGAGCTCAAAGGCCATCACAAGGCAGACAGAGCCAACAGGGAGAGCGCGAGCAAGCTCCAACTACGCGGCTAAACCTCTGCATTCGGCTGCACCTTCAGACTTCCCAGTCAGGTGCACCAAATAAATCCCTGGTTCTGTGTAGGCCTGAGTTGTGCTTTGGTGCTTATGAGCAGAAGCAGCTGTGACCCACACAGACACTGGAAGCAGAGGCTGAGTCTCTTTTGGGGGATATCTTCATATCTTTACTGTGTCTCTTTTGCATACATCTCATATAATCTTTACAAGAGTTACAAGAGGCAGGTTACTATCCTCCTTTTACAGATTTAGAAACTTGCCCAGGACCATAATGCTAGGACGTAACAGAGCTGGGGGTTCAAAACTCAGCCCATGGACTCCAGACACTTCTTGTATAAGGTGCTGCGTTAAGAACAAGCAGGTTAAGTGGACATCTTCATGAGGACCGACATCTTCATGAGGACCCTTCATTTTTAAGGTACAGTTTTTGCCCATCATATGCATTTTATTTTATTTTAAGTAAGCTTTATTTTTTAAATTTTATTATTATTTTTAAAGATTTTATTTATTTGATAGACAGAGAGAGCACAAGTAGGCAGAGCAGTAGACAGAGGGAGAGGGAGAAGCAGGCTCTCCGCTGAGCAGGGAGCCCGATGTGGGGCCTGATCCCAGGACCCTGGGATCATGACCTGTGCAGAAGGCAGATGCTTAACCAACTGAGCCACTCAGGTGCCCTTAAGTAAGCTTTATGCCCAATGTGAGTCTTGAACTCATGACCCTGAAATCAAGAGTCACATGCTCTACTGACTGAGCCGGCCAGGCACCCCCCAGGACCCATCATTTTCAGCAAAGAAAGAGTAAATTCTTCTGCTCTAATTCAGGACCTGGACTAGTTTTAGTCTAATTTCAGAACTAGGAAGGAACCTCTTAAATTCAGGTGACTACTTGACAGGATAGAAAAAAAATAATGGTTTCCAAAATGACTCTGTATGAAAGGGATGACAACACCAAGTATAATTTATCAAATACCTGATCAAGCACACTGTGAAAGGCAATCAGGGTGTAATTTCATGTTATAAAAGCATTCCTTGTACTTATCTATTTTTCAAAGCATATTCGCACCCATAACTTCATCAGATTCACCAGGCTCCTTTTTGATAAATGACCCACATCTCAAAGTCTTTTCAAAGCATAAAAACCAAAATATACTTTATAAATAATTACATATTAATTTCTTACAAATAAGAACCCTAAAATGTTTATTCTCCAACTTAGTTTTGGGTCCCTGACATTTATATACTTTGCTAGTCAGCTCTTCTTTTTTAAAACATTTTTAGTAGGCTCCACATCCAGTGTGGAGACCAACACGGGGCTTGAAGTCATGACCCTGAGATCGAGACCTGAGCTGAGATCAAGAGTTGGCCGCTTCACCAACTGAGCCACCCAGGCAGGCCCCCGGCTCTTCTCAATTCTAGGCCACAAGCAAATAATTTTTATTTTCCCAGTTTTAGAGGAACCCTGAGCTTTTTTTTCTAACTTGTTTCCTTTCCATCCCATTCTGGGCTGTGACTTGTCCACTTAACCTGCTTATTCTTAATGCAGCGCCTTATACAAGAGGTGTCTGGAGTCCATGGGCTGAGTTTTGAACCCCCAGCTCTGTTACGTCCTAGCATTATGGTCCTGGGCAAGTTTCTAAATCTGTAAAAGGAGGATAGTAACCTGCCTCTTGTAACTCCTATAAAGATTGTATGAGATGTATGCAAAAGAGACACAGTGAGCATGTGGTAAATGTTAGCTGTTACTATTTGTTGGCTAAAAGAATGAGTTCTGCCAACCAGTGCTCCTTGCTCTTTCATTCCACATGTGAAGCTTTTAATAACCAGCGGCGCTATAGGGTCTACAATCTAAGCCCCATGAGACAGAGACTTTGTCTTTTCATCACTATAGCTCCAGCACCCAATAGATGACTGGCATATAACAGGGATTCAGTATGTATTTTTTGAATCAATCAATGAATGAATATAGGTAATACAGGTATAATGCTACTGATATTCTGATTTTATGGATGAAGAAACTGAGGCTCAGAGAGGTTAAGTGACTTGAATAAAGTCCCCCAGCTGGTTAGGGAAGGATTACGATCTAGTCCTCCCACCTGGTTTTTCTTCTCTTCTACCCTATCACCTCCTCGGGCTCTTACCTCATGATCCAAAAATTCAGGTGCGGGATCTTTGTTACTAAATGATGATTTTTTTTTTAAAGATTTTATTTATCTATTTGAGAGCGAGAATGAGAGACAGAGAGAGAGCACGAGAGGGAAGAGGGTCAGAGGGAGAAGCAGACTCCCCGCCGAGCAGGGAGCCCGATGCGGGACTCGATCCAGGGACTCCAGGATCATGACCTGAGCCGAAGGCAGTCGCTTAACCAACTGAGCCACCCAGGCGCCCCTAAATGATGATTTTTCAAGGGGGCAGACATGATTCTGAAATTTTAAAACCTACCGTGGTATCCACAGCCTTGACTTTCTCGGTGGGAATGTGCTTTGGCACGGCTTCAGTCTCTGACAGCATCACACATCCTTCAGCACCTAAGGTGACGATGACCACATGGCAGCCCCTTTCCACGAGCATCTGTGCAGCCTGCCCCGCGTCTGCAGGGCTGCCGACCGCCAGGCCAGTTAGGATCTCAGCCTGGGATACAGACAAGTGAGAGGAAACAGCAGTGAGAATAGTAACCTGGGTCCACTTCCAGATTAGATTTGTTTTTCTAGAAAATGTCTCCCTTCTTTTGCGTAACAACCAATGCCGTGGGGAACTCTGATGCATACTGGCCCAGGGAAAGAAATAAAAAGCCCGATAACAATGACAACAAAAATGAGCTCTCAAGGACATTCTTGGGACATCTGGGGAAATTTGAATGTGGCCTGGATGTTAGAAGACAGAACAGAGTTATTAACACTTTTCTTAAGTGTGATCATGGTATCGTGGCTCCTCTTAGGAGATGTGTGCTGAAGTAGTTAGGAGTCAGGTATCATGTAATCTGCAACTTACTCTGAAACGATTCAACAAAAACAAAAAGAAACACACACAGGGGAGAGAGGAAGCAACATAGCAAATGTTAACAACCATCTGGGTGGACAGTATGTGACTATTCATTGTATTGTTCTTCCAGCTTTTTCTGTGTGTATGTGTGATCATTTTCATCAAAAAGAGTTAGAGGGAACAAAGAATTCTACAGAAGAAAGGAAGAGGGGAGGGAAGACAGGAGAAAAGGGAGGGGCCGCTGACAATGATTTTGATATAAATCATGTCTGTAAATTTCACACCTAAGGCCGTAATTCTTCTAGGCCCCCTCTTGGGCCATAATGCCCTTCTCTTATTACTAGTCACAGCTTTCCACGTTTGCACAACACCCATTTCTTGTGTCTGTTTTTGCTCAAGAAGATGGAAGCAGGGTAGGAGAGGCACTGATGTGTCGCAGAGAGAGCAACGTGCTGACATTTAGATGTCCGCTACTTACTGACTCTGGAACTTTCCCCATGTCATATACAGTCTGTACAATGAGGGGCCTGCACAGGACCACAGTTCTCTCCCGGAGTGTAGAAAGGGCTCTGGCTGAAGTAGGGGTGAAGGACTGTAGCCCTGCTTCCTCATCCCCTAGGCATCCTCGAGCACCTCTGGGGACCCTCTCTGGTCCTGAAATTAATGGCTGCAAAATCACTGGACTAGATGAATTATAGGATACTTTTTGACTCAAAGGGTTTATAACCAAATTCTGTCTTTTCTGTATCCCATTTCTTCCTAAGAAAGGGTCTGTCTCTTCCTGTGCCTGCTCTGAACATGCCCAGATTAACCCTTCCTGGGGCCTAGAAGTCACCCCGCAATGTCTGCTCCTTCTGGGCTTTGGTCTTCCCCAGCAGCAAAGGTTTCATTAACTTGACCATGTGTCCCTCCCGAACAGTCTTTTCCACAGACCCTTTCTGTCTGAGTTGGCTGTGCCCTGAGGCCACCTTCTGTTTTCTTTTCGTAAGTTTTTTTACTGATCTTCATTATTGAGAATGCTTACATCTGTGGGGTGAGATGGTCTATTTTCAAAAACACTGAATTCTTGTGGTTTCTAAAAACCTGTTAAAAAACTATTCTTTGATGAAAGGATCCTGAACGTAAAAGATAATGCAACACCCATGTACCTACCACCTGCTTTTAATAAATCTTTATGTGTTAACTTTATTTGCTTCAGATATTTCTCTTTAAAGGAGGTAAATCATGTTTTTCACAGATGTTATTTGGCAATACGCTTCTTCCCTTAAATATAATTTCATTTGTGCTGATATGCGGAGCTCTTCTTCTGTTGAACTGCACAGTATTCCATTCACTACAAATATATTGCAAATATACTACAGGTTAAAAAAATCTACTCTCCTTTTCATGGACATCAATTTTTCCATTTTCCCCTTTTACAAGCAACGAAGTATTGGATATTCTTATCACTTATATGTAATCTTTTTTCCTCTGGCTGTTTAAAAATATTTTTGTCTTTATGTTTCATTTTACAAAGTTCCATTAAAATGTATGTTAGTAGAGAGTTATATCCATTTATCTCAGGTGATACTTTTTTTAAAAAAAGATTTTACTTATTTGTTTGAGAGCGAGAGGGAGAGAGAAAGCATGAGCAGGGGGAGGAGCAGAAGGAGAGGGACAAGCAGATTCTGTGCTGAGTGTGGAGCCTGATGGCGGGGCTCGATCCCATGACCCCGAGATCATGACCTGAGCCAAAATCAAGAGTCAGACGCGCAACCTACTGAGCCACCCAGGCGCCCCAGGTGGTACTTTTAATACACTTTTGATCTGAGGACTCATGCTCTTCCTCAGTTCTAGACAACACCTTGCAGTTTTTCCTCTAATATTGCTTTTCTCCAGTTCCCTCCTTTCTCTTCTTCTTTCATTCCAATTAGATGTATGTGAGAACCGCTTGAGCTATATTTCATTTCTCTAAATTCCTCCTTAATATTTAAAAAAATTCTTTCTGTGATACTTTCTAGGTGAATTGAGTTTTTCACTTGTTTGTGAATTGATGAATTCTCTTTCAATTCACCAATTCTTCATTCCAGTCTAATGTTTATCTTCCTAATGAGTGTTTTATAGAAATATTTCAAAGGTGTTTTTTCATTTTCAAGATTTCTAATTGATTGGTTTTTAGATTCACATATCGTTGCTTTGATCCCATTTCTCTTTCACACTTAACTTTCTATTTTTTTAATGAATGAGAATCTCAATATTTAAAGTCTTTTTTGCATTGTTTCATTATTTGAATTTCATTCATGTTAGACCATTGATTTTGTTGGATAACTCTTGAGCATTAGGTTTCTTCATTTGCAGGCTCACGTTGCTCTCTGTGAGTTGGGGAATCCCACGCTTCAGCTCCCATGAGACTTATCCCTGCCTTTCCAGAGGTTTCGTAGTTGCATCCATCAGGCCCCTGAGGGTCTCTAAACCAGAGCCAGGTGTTATGTCGGCAGTATGGAGTTCCTGTTCTGCTGTTACCAATGATACTGCCAACCTAGTCATATTCCTGGTCACCAAGTTAGCAGTTGGCTTGATTCCTTCCTGATCACAGGCAGGACCTCTGTCCTGTCTCCTCAGCTTGGGTAGCTTTACATACTGCTGTAGTCTCAGGTAGCAGACCTAGCAGCTTCCTCCACTTTTTTGGTTAGCAGGGGAGCCTCAGCCCAGCATCTCCAGGGTCCAGCAGTGGGCACTGCTCCAGTCTCCCCCGAGGCGCACATTTTTAGTGCCCATGACCCATTGGAGGTCCCTACCACCTATGCCTGCTTCTAGCACACTCAGGGCTGAATGCTCTAGGATTCTGTTCCCTTTCTGCTCGTGGAGTTATCTTATTTCTGAGCTTGTGAGTATCTTTTCATTGTCTCTTGTATATTTATATATTAATGGTTTGTGTATGGAGCAGAGAGAGGTTTTTTTTTCTTCTTTCTTTCTTTCTTTTTTTTTTTTAGAGAGAGAGCAGTGGGGTGGGGAAAGGGAGAGGGAGAGAGAGAATCTTAAGCAGGCTCCATGCCTAGCAGAGCCCGATGCCAGACTCGATCTCATGACCCTGAGATCATGACCTGAGCCAAAATCAAGAGTCGGATGCCTAACCAACTAAGCTACCCAGGTGCCCCCAGAGAGGGTATCTTAAAGCATGAATTTACATTATTATCATGATTAGAAGTCCTCCACAAGAACATTAAGCTTTTAAAATTTTTCTTTTTTCTATTGAGTGTTTGAGATCAATTTTCTTAAAGACCAAAGTTTGTTCATTTGTTCATTCATTCAAAAAGCACTTACTAGGTGCTAACTATATGCTAGGTACAATATAACAGATGGTAATTTCCAAAGATAACTCCATCAATGTATATCACATCGTAGATGCTCTTTTCACACTGTGACAAGGACAATCTTCTGTTGAGAGGTGGGGCGCAAGGGCAGACTTTCCTGCATCAATCAATAGAATGGGCCAGAAGGGATACTGCGTGACTTTGAAGTAATAAGTAATTTGAGCTATGATGAGTGTTTGAAGAATAAATATAGGGCTCTGCAAGTATGTAGTAGGCAAATCAGGTGGCAGTGGAGGGTAATCGCACTTCTTATTGGGAAATGGTTACTATTTCCCACAATCCCTTTCTCCTGGCACAAGGCCTGGCCATGGTGGTTGCCCCCAAATATTGTATAGCCTATTGTGATTTGTTAAAATCAGTTTCCTTGTGGCAGTCTTCCTTTTCGTTTACTTCTGTTCTGAGAGACAACAAAAAGGCAGGTCAGGAAATCCTAGAAACATCCATTCAGTCTTTGACCCACATGGACAATTACTATTACAGTTCTTTTATTTTTTATTTATTTATTTATTTAATTTAATTTTATTTTATTATGTTATATTAGTCACCATACATTACATCATTAGTTTTAGATGTAGTGTTCCATGATTCATTGTTTGCGTATAACACCCAGTGCTCCATGCAGAACGTGCCCTCTTTAATACCCATCACCAGGCTAACCCAACAGGAAATGACAGATGTTGGCGGGGATGTGGAGAAAGGGGAACCCTCCTACACTATTATAGTTCTTTAATTACTAGCTTTCTCTCTCTGCATGTTGCATTGTATCATATGTCCTGCCTCCCAATGTTGAGAGAGAGCTCTGGTCTAAAACTGTCTGGCCAAGAAAGGGAGCAATACTGAAATTTTCTTCCTAAAATGCTTCAGAATGAATGGCACAATCTGAATGTATTGGTAGATATCTTATGCAGCTCTATCCATTATGACCCTCAGATGGACTGAGAGGGCCCTCTCCTAACAGAGGGGCCCCCGAGGTCCTTCCCGTGGCATCAGTGGAGCACCCCTGTCCACCCCTGTGGTCACAGGGTCTTCACAAGAGAAGGTGGCAAATGCTCCAGGGGTTGTATATTACTTAGGGTTGTTGGACCAGCTGAATTTGAATTTCAGATAAATATCATTTCATAGTACAAGTACATTTAATATATTATTTGCTGTTTATCTGAAATTCAAATTTAACTGGGCATCCTATATTTTTATTTGCTAAATCTAGCAACTCTAATACTAATTAGTCCATAGAATGTAGAATTAAAGAAGAAAACAAACCACCAATAGTGTGAAGGCAGGGAGAGGACTAAAATTAGCTGAGGTTTGATAAGTGCCAGATTATGGAGATGACTCAGAGAATCTTTTTGTTTTCCCCCTAGGACTCACTAATTTCCTTTTCTCCACACCCCAGTTAGTGAAAATTGTTTTCACTGGGTCCAGGAATTTACATGCAACCAAGCTGACGTGGTTAGTCCTGCCTCTTTCCTTTACCCACTTGCATGAAAGTCTTTGGCTTCTTATGGAATGAGTAAAACGTTCCATCCTTACCTCAGTTTCATTGCAGCAGAACACATCTGAGAGTCTGTAGAAGCGAGGGTCCAGGTCAGCAATAGCAGGAGCTGGATTGAACAATGTTTTCACTGTAAAGGAATGGAAAGGGGGTTCAGTGGTCACCATTTTTAACATGGTGCGCTTACAGTCACTAAGGGAAATCCCCTTGTGCAGCCATTTTCCCTATTAGATGAAAAATCAACTTAGAAAAGTCTGAAATCTCAATCTCCATGGTGACCTAGTACCAGCCCCTTCTTATTTCTATTTGCTCCATTTTTCACTTCACAACATTTCAACTTCAAGGGCAAGCGACAGTATTACAACCAAGGTGATTACAAAGTTATGGCAAAGGCCAACAACATTAAAGAAAATTTTAAATGCTGTGGCATGAAAGGACATGTATGAATGTGAACATTCAGGCTGGTGTGAACATTTTTGTTCATAAATCCATTTTTCAGGAAAGAAAAAAAGAGATGTTAGGAAAGAAATAATGAAGAAGTAAAAAATTTCCTGGTAAGAACAGGATGTAGGAAGTTCATGTACATACGTAGGTTCTGAACACCTATGCATGACTTCCAAATATATCACGATTACTCATGCAAACATAGACTTTAAGAATTTATTTTTAAGTAATCTCTACACTGAAGGTGGGGCCCGAACCCACAATCCCAAGATCAAGAGTCGCATGCTCCACCAACTGAACCAGCCAGGCGCTCCAAACATACACTTTTCACAGAAGCTTACGTTCTTGGCAATCCGGGAACATAAAGGAAAGCTTGAGAAAGGAGGAGAAATTCAATCTGAGGCTGAGGGCTAGCTCAGACTATGAGCCTACAAGAGAAGGAAGGATGGCGATAGCAGAGACAGGGAAAATGAGAATGTCACAGCATTACAGTGTCAGAAGAATTTTTACATTTTTCAGAGAAGAAAAGTGAGTTTCAGAGAAATGAGGTCAGAGGTCATACACTGGGACATGGTTAAGCTGGGTTCCCATCTGGGCTCCTCCAGCTTTAAGTCCAGTGTTTGGTCATCTCTCTAGACCAGGACTACTTATAGCAGCACAAGCCCTTACCCCAATTTACAATATTTTAAAACAGCCTTTGGGGTGGAACTCTGTAAATACATATTTTTTGAAAGTGTTTAGAGATTCCGTTCACAGGAAGCTCCCCCTTTGTCAAAACATTCACTCATCCACCAGAGGACCCAACTAGATTGGTTGGTCTTCTTTTCCTCTAACCAGGTCCATTGATTTATGTGTTTAGTGACCCCAATCTACTATAGACCCAGAGAGTCAAATCTTCTAGCTGCAGTTCTCAAAGACCCTTCCAGAATAGTGCCTCCCAAGCTTAGGTGCACATCAGCATCACTAGGAGAGCTCATTAAAGTGCATGACTTTTGGGCTCCACCTCAAGCCCACTGATCAGAATCTCTTGGGGAACACGTGCACGGATGAGTTCCCCAAGTGAGTCTTCCGCAGTTCTTGCGGCACTGAGCCTCTTGGGGAGATGCTCATCAGCACGTGGCTGTTGGAAACTGCCCACTACTTCCACCTGGTGAGGCTAGTTTGCCTCTACACCTTCGTTAGTCTTCGCATTTTGGTTTGGCCAGTGGGTCTTGTCCAGTGGTTTACAGGTAACACGATTCCCCCATTTTCATTATTTTAGAATCCAGAATGTCCACCCACAGAAATTCTATGGTATATTTTTGGCTGCTCATGTTTTTGTATAGGTTACTGTGCAGCTTAAATTAGAAAACGGGTGTAAAAGCCCTGTGTAAACTGTAGAGTGTTGTACAAACGTAAGGGATTATTACTGTTATTATACTGTCCTTCACACACAGCCCGAAACCCCTGCCTGTCCACCCATCTCTTTTGCCTTCTGTTGGAATTCGTAGCCTGGCAACAGTCTCTCTCATTGGTGTTCCCGCTTTTGCAAGGTCTTAGAGATGTCAATTATGCATAAAGGCCCTCAATGCCCAGCATTGCAACACATCCATTTACTTTTTATGGTTCCAGGACAAATACATGGCTCCCTATTTTCCTCAAACGGTGAATTGAAAAAGCAGTGCTCATGTATTGTGATCTCCAAATCTTCATGCAAAGGCATTTGAGCACAGGGTAGAGCAAGCTACCAGTATGGAACAACGGCATTGAGCCATTCTTTTTTTTTTTTTTTAATTTTAAAAAAAATTTTTATTTATTTGAGAGAGAGAGAGCACGAGTCGGGGGGGGCGGGGGCAGAGGGAGAGGGAAAAGCAGACTCTCCGCTGAGCGGGGAGCCCCATGTGAGCCTTGATCCCAGGACCCTGGGATCATGACCTGAGCCAAAGGCAGATGCTTAACGACTGAGCCACCCAGGCGCCCCAGCACTGAGCCATTCTTATAAAAGTTCCATTTTATCTCAAAAGATCTCTGATCCAGCAATTCCTTTCTCAAACCTATCCTACAGAAATACACAGGCATGCAAAAATGAGGTCCAGTGATATTCAGCTCTAACAGAAAAAAACCAAAAAGAAACCTAAGCTTCAACAGACAGGACTGGTTAGGGAAAAAAAAATACCTCTAATGGAATACTCTGCTGCTGTTAGAAAGAATGAAGCAGATCTCTGTTTCGTCACAGAAAGACTTCTATAATTTGTAAGCGAAAAAAGGAAGTTTTGTAATAAAAACTACAGTATGACCCCCTCTTTTTTTTAATAAAACAAAGCATAATTATATGTGTATTTACATTTTTACACTTGCACAAAAGAGAAAAAGTCTGAGAGGTTACTTCCTAAACTAATAAGGGATTAGTTCTAAAGGGTGATGGGAACCAATCTGACCACAGATTACCTGGTATACACCAGGCAGAGACAGCATTCTTAAAACATGTATAACACCTTACATCAAAAACCAAGTACATTGTGAATGAAATGATATTAATGTCTGGCTGGTGCTTCTGAATATAACCCAAGGTTGCAGTGCGAGGGTGTGGGGAGTAGTAGCTGGGGTGTAAATGCAACAGGATTGGCCACGTGTTGAGAATTATTGAGGCTAAACGATAGAATATGTGGGTTTACTGTCCTATTCTCTGTATGTCCATATATATTTGACATTTTCCACAATAAAAACACATTTTAAAGAAACAGTTACACTGAATTTTAAGCAATAAAAAGAGTTGCTGGAATGAGAAATCCTACCATTTAATTTGACCATAAACATTGTATAAAAATCAGTCAAATCTTATTTGCTTGTATTTTATTGAAGGAAAGCATTCTGACCAATGCCGGACAGTAATAGGCTGGATGCAAAAGCTTAGAGTCTGACTAGTAACTAAATTTAGGGGAAAATGAAACTGCTATAAAGAAAGGACTCTTCTTTGGCTCATGCCACCATAAATAAGCAAAAACACTTTACCCTGGTTAAAAAAAATGTGAAGAATGAGTAGATAACGCTAATCAAAGAAGAATGCACATTTGTGATAGATATGGTGGGACAAAATGATATCATCCTGGAATCATGTAAAAACAGAGTCATAAGCGGCACCATGGAGTAACTTGGAGCTGCAGAGTGACTGACAGCACCCAACATAATTATTATTCATGACAACGGCAGACGGGGCTAAACTCCTGGTGGTCTTCACAGCACGCAACAGCCGGCACAAGAGCGTCCGTGAGGAACCGGGGAGGCCTCTGGGGGCAGCTGCGGAGGTGCAGAGCCAGGAAAATGAGGTGGAAGCTCAGAATAGTGTCACCATGCAGGGCAGGAGCTGGACAGTTAAGAAGGCTCTAATAATTAGCTCAGAGAAACAGGAAGAAAGTCACCCTAAGTGAAACCATGGGAAGGCTGGGGTAACCAAAACGCTGGCTTGGCGGCCTCCCTCGAGGGGTTGTTTTCTGTGAGTTGAGTGAGCAGCAGAAACACTCCACAAACTTGGGCCGTGGGCTGGACAACGTCACCGTGGAAGTCAAGGTGGCCAGCCAAGAAGTTTGGTTTGCCAAATGGACAAGGACTAAAGTGTCATTAAAAGATATTTTGTATCCTACCTAGAATTTAATCTTGGCGATCTTACAATGTCAATTATTTATAATTGTTCCTGTAATGTTCCATTTGCTTTGAAATGGATATAAACACCAGACCCGACATGCATAATTTCATCACAAGCAGCTGCAGCACCAGCCCTGCCGTGGGCCTGCCTCAGAGCATCATGACCTAGAGAGGAGGGGGCCGTCGAGGGCCACTGGTTCATTTCTGATGTTGCACGTGCTGTCCCTTTAAAACCAATGCTTTCCTTTAGGTGAAGACGAGAGAGTTCTGAAACCGTATGTTCAAAGATGGGGGGGGTGTCTTTTCCCTCTATATTTTAACAACTATATATAATTCAGTCATACAATGTGTTTAACTCAGAATTCATTACTTGTAAGAAGGACAGATAAGGGAGCTGTGATAATAAACCCACAGAGGAGGAGGAGGGGGACTTTACCACCTTCTTATAGATGGAATACTGCTGGTTATCATAGGAAACAAGTCTCGCGGGGCAATGGACAGGACACGCAGTGCTCAACACATCTCTAAGCGTTGTCTGCTCTGCTCTGTGATCAGTCCATTCATACATCCTGACATGAAGCAGCTGGGAGAGCTCTCAGACCAGTTCTCTTGTTTCACAGAGGCCCAGAGCGAATAACTGACTTGCGTGTGGTCCCCCATTTACTAAGGGATGGATTCTGAATTCAAAGCCAAACTTCATGACTCTCAAACCAGTGCTCCCTTCATTGTATCAGTCTTCTCTGACATGAGAATGAAAACACAGTAAGTTCTCACATACACACACTCATGGTATAGAATCTAAGCTGCTTCTGGCTGGTTAATACCAAGTGAGGACCAGCTGAGTTCTGGTCAGCAGAGTACGTGTGCATGTGTGTGCAGCATGCGTGTGTTTTATGGGAGCGGGTAAGGGACGCGTTGTAGAAAGCACTCTAGCGTCTCCGAGGAATGAGCAGCAAAAACACTTGAAGCCGAGGCTACATGTTGAACAGTGTTACAGTTCATGGATTTTACTTTTCTTCATAAAGGCTCAGTTCCTTGGAGTCAATGGGATGTGGCAGTTTCTTTAAAATGTGTTCTAGAACACATAACTTGGGTCTTGGCCTCTGAAATCTGGGTTTCTACAATGACCTTGGTTGAGCTAATTACTTAAACTCACCAAGTCTATCTTCCTACCTTCAGTTTGGGAGAATAATGCCTGCCATATCTTTGTCATAAGGTTTTTCTGAGGATCAAATATATATGAAAGTACATGGAATTCATACTGAGACATGCTGGCTCTTAGTAAAAGCATGACATCAGCTAGTGCTCTTTGGCTTACCATCACTACCCCTGCCCATTCCCTCCCAACCCCCCTTTTTTTAAATGAAGGGCTTGAATTCACGACCGTGAGTTCAAGACCTGAGCTGAGATCAAGAGTCAGATGCTTCACCAACTGGGCCATCCAGGCGCCCCATACCCCCGCCAATTCCTGATGCCCCAGGTCCTCCAGCTCCTCGCCTGGCAGAGCTGCCTGGCAGGTGATGGAGGAAGCATTTTTGGACACACCCAAATGACAGCCCGAGGCCAGGCTGTCTGCCCATCGGGACAGCTCTAGCCTCACCTGCAGTGGCTGTACCGTTCTCTCCTCCACAGGCTGGGTAGTTAACATGTAACTAGACTAGGACAGAGGAAACAGTGATCTCTGAGAAGCAAGGGAGAGTAGGAAAAGTAGTTAGATGAGAATATGCCCTGACCGATAGAAGGCAAGACAGGAGCAAGAATGAAGTGGCACGTTGTATTCACGTCGCTCAATTCACAGGAGTGCAGTGCAGGCAATGCTTACCGTAACATTAGACTCTATGTGTGACACTCTGAGAAATGTAACCAAATGGGTTTTGGCTTCGAATGCTTTCTGACAGCTTCGAGTCCATTAAAAATACATTAACTGTCAGTGAGGATTTGCCATGGCACGTTGTTTTGCCAAGAGGAAAATTTGTTAAATCCGGACATACATTTAAAAATTCTCTACAAAATCATTTCAAGTAACTTACTTTCATTGCTATGTAGAACGCCGTAGACTTTGGAAGAAATCACTTATACAAACACACACACACACACACATAGTTCTTTTTCTTCTCTCTTTTTAGTTTTGTATCTTGACAAGAAAGTTTTATGTGGAAAAGTCAAAGAGGTTCTCTCTCTCTTTTTTTAAAGATTTTATTTATTTGACAGAGAGATAGAGAGAGCACAAGCAGGGGGAGCAGCAGGCAGAGGGAGAGGGAGAAGCAGGCTCCCTGCTGAACAGAGAGCCCGATGCGGGGCTCGATCCCAGGACCCTGTGATCACGACCTGAGCCGAAGGCAGACGCTTAACGACTGAGCCACCCAGGCGCCCCAGAGGTTCTCTCTCTTAAGTCACAGAACTACAGTTGCAATATCAAAAGGAAGCCATTGTTTTAGAGTGGCAACTTTCGCTTTTGATTTTTTTTGACCAAATGGTGCTGCGATCCAGATATTACCCTAATTTAAATTTAAAGAGAGAAGTGAAAAGGAGAAGAAATTTGGGATTTATTGAGATTTATTACATCATGCTCAGCATCATATTTTATTTTATTTTATTTTATTTTTTTAAGATTTTATTTATTTATTTGAGAGAGAGAATAAGAGAGAGAGAGCACATGAGAGGGGGGAGGGTCAGAGGGAGAAGCAGACCCCCTGCTAAGCAAGGAGCCCGATATGGGACTCGATCCCGGGACTCCAGGATCATGACCTGAGCCGAAGGCAGTCGCTTAACCAACTGAGCCACCCAGGCGCCCCATCATATTTTATTTTGTTTCATTCTTAGAAGAACAATTCTGTAGGCAAGTATTTCTATATGCATTTAACAAACAAGGCTCAGAAACATCGGATAATTCTGGAGAGACCGCAAAGCTAAAAAGGAACAGAAATGGGATTCTACCTCAAAAGATGCTTTGCCCAGGAGTCAGGGGTGAGCAAGAAACAAACACAAAGAAACTATTTGGATTTTTAAAGAGTTTGTGATTTGCTGAGGCGGAAGTGGGGAGTGAGTGGGATGACAGGGAAATCAACCTTAGCCATGTGCTGATAACTGTTGATGCTGGGTGAAGGGTTTTACTATGCAATTCTGCCTGCCTCACTGTTATAGTGAAAGGTAGCCTTTCAAGTTAAGCAAAGCAGCAAACAGAACCAACTCACTGCTTAAAGGACGTTGACAACATAGAAAATACTACATATAAATAATCTTTTGTTGTTTACAGAGCAGAGATGGAGTATTACAAAAAGGAGAAAGAGCTAATTTTCAATTCCTAGATACATTTATCAAAACAGACCCACCTGGGCCGTCATGATACATGACATGCAGCTTGGCCTCTGCTTCCTGGGAAAGCCATCATTCTATTGTTGGGCCCTGGGCTGCTTCTGAGTTTCTAGTAACTACTTGTATTATTTCTGCTAACTAGATTGAGGATTTATATTGCGGGATATCAGTAGTGCTACTCAGGTTATTTTTTTACCCTATTTGTAAGCTTTTCTCACACTATCAAGAACTACAAGAAGACCGTGAATCTCACAGGTGGGAGAAAGCATATTTTACTCCAGGGAAAGTACTGCTTTGCTTAACTTGAAAGGCTACCTTTCACTATAACAGTGATAAAAACTTTTGTAGGAAGAATAACAAATATGTAAAATCACCTCCATTGCTGTGGGCCATTGTCAGGGCTTCCAAAGACGTTTCTGGAGTTATTTCTAACTGGCAGATCATGACTTTGGCTCTGCTAATGGTCCTGGCTGCTTCCCTCAGGTCTTCAGTATTCAAAAGTAAATTTGCTCCAGCCACTATAACGATGATATTCTGGCCTATAAAGAATTTCCGCATATTTATGTTAAAAACCAAGAGATGATATTCTGCAATGTTACAATCACCCTTTCAAAGTCGTAATGCTAAATGTGTTTTAAGTCTTAATTTTGACATTTCTAGGTGATTCCGGTGAAATTCTATATTCCTACTGTATCTTCTTTTACAGTATCCCTGCCCTGTAGGTTTAATATTATTCTGATAATTTTGAGTAAAATCTAAAACATAATTCCCCTACCAATATTCTTATATACAAAGAACACTAGCTGGAAAATGATATATAACATAGTTAAAAATGACTGGTACAGAGTATGTGGTAAAGATCCAAATCCAAAATGACAGATGTCATAATGATGTGTACGAACAGGAGTAAACTTGCCCAACACTAAAAACTAAGGCTTTGCAGTATGCAGTCAGTTTGTGTGTGTACCTTAGGGTATTCTGAAAATCAAAACATATTTTATAATATCTAACAGATGGGAAATTGTGCCAGATAACCTAAGGTCAAGAGAGGGATATTTGACCTATGCAATACCAGATCAAACAGAAGCTGAAGTAAGAATCTTATATACTCCTTACTTGGACCCACTCTCAACAATCCCACCTAAATGGGGAAGAAGTGGGGTGCATTTTATCTGTGAGGTGAGCCCTCAAGAGCTGTGCTGTCCCATATGAGAGCCACGAGCCCAAGCATATGAGAGCCACGAGCCCAAGCCACATGTGGCCCTCGAGCACTTGCAATGTGTCTGGTCTAAATTGAGATGTACTTCAATTGTACAATACATAGCAGATTTTATTTTTATTTTTTAAAACTTTTTTATTATGTTCAGTTAGCCAACATATAGTACATTATTAGTTCTTGTTGTAGTGTTCAACGATTCATTAGTTGCACATAACACCCAGTACATAGCAGGTTTTAAAGACCGGGTACAAAAAAAAAAAAAAAAAAAGGTAAAATATCTCAGTAGTTTTTAAGAACATTTTGATTACATGTTGAAAAGGATATTTTAGATATTTCAGGTTAAGTGAGTATATTAAGATTAATTTTACCTATTTGACTTTTTAAAATGTGGCTCATGGAAAATTTCAAATTCTGTCTGTGGCTTGCATCACGTTTCTTTTGGACGGCACGGATCTAGGGGACGAACTACAGCGGTCATTTCTTTTCTGTGCTCCAGGCTGCTTGTGCTGATCTTGTATACGCATGACCTAAAATTACCTCTGAACACAGAACACATGCTAGCCTATCATCTTACCACAGATGTGTCTGTTGGCCACAAGGAGGACTTAATAAGGTGGGGATGGTTCAGCATAAACCCAATCTTGGTACTGGAAAAATTCAAAGTACCCACACACTGAAAGACAGCATATCTCCTTCCTTTTCTCCTTCAGTGACCTCATTCTCTCTGCATCTGTGCTGCTGACTCCTGGATCTACGTTTCTGGCCTGGCCTTGGCTGATAAGCAACAAGACCAAGACTACAGCTGTCCAGTAGACATGGCCATATGGCCAGATCATTCATGCCTCCAATTTAACTTGTCAAAGCTGAATTCTTTACTTTACCTTGCTACTCATTCCTTCACTTAAGGGAGCTGATGGTCCCCTCTCTGGGTATTTGTGTTAGCTCTTCTATGACCATCTAGAGTCTCAAGGGCATTACCAGATACAATATATAAATCAGACAAGTTCTAGCATAACAGGCACTCAATACACAATATTAAACTATATCTTTGCATGGAAAGTGTAGTTTCTTGCTACATCGATAAGGAAGAAATGGAACTCGAAGATATCCCTAGAACACAAAAAAGAGGTTTAAGACAGGGAATGAACTGCTGTTGACAGCAATAATTACTTAAAATTTAGCTGAAAGTAATGAACACAGACTGTCTATCGTTAGAATGAAAAATTTTATCTTCTTTAAGTGGAATACATTTTTTCATCGTTGTTATTGCAACTCTGGGATCACTAGAGTAGAACTAAAAATACCATATCTTCTGTGAGAAATGATTGTATGAAACTATATTACAAATCAAAGACATTTTATGACAAATCCTAATTTCACAAAGTGCACGCTGACTGCCCACAATGCACCAGGTTCTGTCTGAAGTGCCCCATGAAATGCTTGGTACTTCTGAATATTCATTCTGAATTAAAGAATTTCACATAGGTTTTTTTTTTAATATTTAAAATAGTTGGCAGAAATGATGAAAACTTTACTTGAGGGTAAAGGGAAGTTACTGTTTTTAAAGACAAATGTTTCAACTGTTGCAAGGCCCTGTGACAGACAGACTTAGTTGTATATATAGGCTTTTGAGATTTGATTGCCGTTTAAAGAGCAGGCAAAATTGAACACTAATGATAAGTTAGAAGTAATTAGTTGCTGCCATTTGCTCAGTAAATATTCTATAAATATGATTCATTAACTTCCCTGTGCACCTATCTATTTACATTTATTTACCTGGTATAACTGAAATGACAGATGAATACTTAACTGCTTTTAGAGACAAATATCAATTCTGAGTTCATATGAAGGGTAATGGGACATTTCAGGATATAAATATTATTTTGAGGCAACTGTAACACTTCCTATGTATTGATGGAGAATTTTATATTTAAATGATCAAGTTGGGAAGTATAAATAAAGGGAAACATGCACAGTTAGATGGGAAAGACCACACTTGGGGCCTTGGAGTGGTGGGTATGGGAAGAGATCCATAGGATTACGGTAAAAATTGATGCTCCTGCTCTCGTGCTGGACATGAACTGTTTCGTGAAATGATACTTCAATGTGCGAAACACGTACCTTCATTATTGACGATTATAGACGCAGTTCCCGTAGCAGCATCTTGAGTCTGATATGTAAATTCTAAAAGAAAAAAGAACTTACAATCATATACACACAGCCTGGCATGGATAATCTCTCTTAGCAATTTCAATGCACCACTCATCTTTGGAAAAACTTTCTAACCTTTAACCATCTGGAATGATAAAAGAAATAAGCAATCAGCGCTAATTTATACCCATCACCTATACAACGACGAAGACCTTTGCTCTACATTAGTAACAACCCAGCAAACCACTCCTCCCTTCCAGTTTGCCCACATTAATCATAGCGGCTACATCTGCATTCCTCTAGATTGTCACATTTCTTTTCTTCAGTGAAAGAAATGACAGACTTGAGTTGAGAGATGAAAGGTCAAACCTATACAACGAACTTGGTTGTGTTTCTTCATAAGCGTTGCATCTCATCAAGAATCATGGTCTGGAGTGTAAATGGAAATGTTGATCAGGCAGCCTTTGGCAGCAGCGAAAAGCCTTGAAATGGAGCCAAAGACCTGCATTCTGCTCCCGACTGGCTCCAGCTAGCTGTGTGCTCTTGGACACGTTGAGAACCAATCTGGCCTTCAGTCTCTCTTTGTGCAGCAATGGCATCAGCTTCAGTGGTTTCCAAGATCATTTCCAGCCATGACAGTCAATGACTTTTCTTAAAACATCTTTTGTGAAGGCAGCACCTGTTTTCTCTTGCCACCTGCTTTTGAAACATTTCTACGAGATGAAGGTTTGTAACCTCTTACCATTTTATTCCCATCTGGAGGAATGTACATGAAAGAATTAACCAAACGACATTTAAGTAAGACGAGACGAGGCTGTGCATAAAAATTCTCTGGCCACCAGAGGAGGATCTAATAATTCTATTCCATATTCAACTGTTCTTGTAACCAGATCCCAGAGGAAAGTCATAAAAACTAACTTTAAAAAAGTTGCAATTTTACCTGTAGAAATATCGTTCTGTTTTAAGTTTTCTATATAGTCTTTGCCAAAAGAATCTTTGCCAACCTGTACCAAAAAAATGATGAATGTTAGATCTTTTACATTTAGTAAAATGCTACAATGTAGTTTTTAGAATACTTTAGCATTTTAAAAGGGCATATCTGCACAGTACTTTATAAACATTAGCTAATTAATCTTCTTAATGTAAGATGCTAGACTTGATTTCAGCCCAAAGAATTGTTCCACTTATATCCTACCTAAAACGTGAAGCATTTAATGACTGTCAGGAGTTCTAGAACTCTGCTCTCACTTTGATCTGTTCATGTGGAAACTCCCACTGAGACAGAGCTGTCTACCATCAACAGTCCTCAATATTTATGAAGAATCTCAGTTGTTTGTACTTCACTATAAATGAGGGCATCTCTGTAATGACTTGCCTGGTGTTTTAGAATCTTCTTACCTGACACAGGATGGGTTCAGAGAAGAGGGAATTTAAAAAGCCCTCGCTAACTTGGGTAACTCGGTATCGTGGAAGTCTGTTGCTTTTGCATCCTAGCATGCATTCTGGAAATGATACTTCAGTTTTTCCTTGGGCACCCATTCCTCTTCCATTCATAGGCAACATGGTTAAGGTGGCACATTTGTTACAATCATTGATCCTATGTTTGACACATTGTTACACCGAAACTCCATAGTTTAAGTTAGGGTTCACTCTGGTGTTGTACATTCCATGTGTTTTGACACATGTATAAACATGCATCCACCATTATAGTATTATCCAGAATGGATTCCCTGGGGTAAAAACCTTCTGTGCTCTGCCTATTCATCCCTCTCTCTGTCCAAGCCCCTGGCAACCACTGATCTTCCTACTGTCTCCATAGTTTTGTCTTTGTAACCTTTTCAGACTGGCTTCTTTCACTTAGAAAATACATCTAAGTTGCCTCCATGTCTTTTTTGTGGCTTAATCACTCATTTCTTTTTAGTGCTGAAAAATGTTCCGTGGTATGGACGTACTGCAGTTTATCCATTTACCCACTGAAGGACATCTTGAGTTGCTTCTAAATTTTGGTAATGATAAATTAATGTGCAGGTTTTTGCGCAGATGCCCTCTTTTATTTTTATTATTTTAATTTTAGTGTAGTTAACATACAGTGTTATATTGGTTTTCTTTTAAATTTTAACCAGTTAGGGGACTTCACAAAAACAAATTTCCAGGAGGTCCTGAAAATCCAGAGGTTCTGGTAACACTGGGCCCACATTCCTGCAAGGCCACCCAGCTGGAACTGCCCCAAAGGTGAGTGCATGCTCTCTAGACCAGAGCCCCCACCTGGCCTACTGCAATTTATGTTACTTGCTTGGTACCTCTAGGCTTTAGGCTTGCCACTCCTGAACTACGATTTCTCTGTCCTGCAGGTGAGCACTACTTCAACGGATCATGTATCTATCTGGGTCTCAGCCACTCCTGCTGTGCTCTGCTTTTCCACGGAAAATCGCTCCCTTCGGGATATATCAATAGAAAGAAACCTAGAGATTTACTTGGGCCAAGATCCTCAATGAGTGAAGAGAAAACTTCCTGGTAAGATTTTGGATTGTCTAGATCAGGGGTTGGAAAATATTTTTCTATAAAGGGCCAGAGAGGTAATAGTTTAGACATTGTGGGCCAGATGGTCTCTTTTGCAACTATTCAACTCTGCTGTTGTAGAGTGAAGGCAGCCAAAGAAAATCTGTAGACAAATGGATGTGGCTGTGTTCCAATAAAACTTTATAAAAATACGTAGTAGGCAAGATTTGCCCCATGAGTGGTAGTGTGCTGACCCCTGATTTAAATGCCACCTCTGAGAACTTCTTCCTCAAAGGACATTTTTCCCTGTGCTCCTTGTCTGGCAGAAATGCTGATTAGCCAATAAGCTTGAACAATATATAATAATTTCTTATTAACAGAATTTCTATCTCTATAATGAAGAGCATCCACTAGAAAGCAATGCTGTGGGGGAGAGCTCCCCGGTGGAAGGAGGTAATCTATCAAAAGTTTTCTTCATGGAAGGCTGGCCATTTATCTACTGAAGCATCCCATTTCTTAGGTCAAAGATTCATACCAGAAATAAATTTTCTCTCTCTTTTTTTTTTAAACATTATTTAGCTCTCTCCCATGGGCAATCAAGATACTATATAGTTGGAAAAGCATCATTATAAGAATGTTGTAGGGATTAGAGGAAGGCCATTCGTAGGCATGTGGGGCCTGGTACAGATTAGAGCAAAGAAACTTCTCTCCCCTTTCCTATCAGTTTACTACAGGCAAAATCTGTTTAAGGTGAATTTCAAAGGCATATTTGATCAATGGTGCGATGATATAAACATCAGGAAGTGCAGGGATTAGGAAGAATTGTTCAAAGGGAGGAGAAAACCAAAAAGCATGTGGCTTTGCCCTCAGAAACTGTCGGAGGGAAAATCAGACCTAGAGAGGCACCTGTCACACCAAGTGGAATATCGTGCCCATCCAAGGCATAATCAGGGATTATGCTCATGGTAACTGCATTTGGCAGGCTTGCTGCAGTCGTATTTTATTTGTAATGGTTAAGTAGGCTCCATGCCTAGCATGGAACCCAACCTGAGGCTTGAACTCACGACCCTGAGATCAAGACCCTTGAGGTCAAGACCTGAGTGAGATCAAGAGTCAGACGCTAACCAACTGAGCCCCCCAGATGCCCCATGCTGCCTGTCTTCTTCCTGCTCTGGGAATCACCTGATGGGCAACGTCCCTCAGGGATGGTGATGGTTCCAGATTTATTCCAATAGTGAATTCCTGGCAAACCTGTCGGCTGTCTATGTGAGACGTGGAACAAAAATACTTCGCCTTTGCCCTCTTGGATATTTCCATGACAAAAATAAAAATCTGGTAATTAAAAAATAATGGCAAAGTAATGACGCTGCTGAGGATCAAGAGAAGTCAACCTTAGCTGCATTAACTTTGCCTCAGGGTCGTGGTGACACATTACCAAGTAAAAGAACTGAGTAGGAGGGCGATATTCACATTTGTGTCAGGGCAGTTGACCCGTGTGGTTTGGGGCAAGCCGCTGTAACTGCCCCTCGGCCTCAGTCTCCTTATCTGGAGAGTCACAGTGAGTTTGCTGTGGGGATAAAATAACCCGCAAGAAGCGGGCTGACAACTGTAAAGGATTCAATAAGGGCTCGGTGCTATCACTGTCCCTGTCCCCATCCTCATCATCACCAGCTCAGTACTGCTGCCTCCATGGCCACTTCCCTTGGGGAATACCTGCTGCTTGCATTCAATCCTGCCTGTGTGGTTCTCCCTGATGCTTCCAATTCTTCCTGTTGCTCCCTATTTTCAAATAGAAGAGCACCTGGTCATGGAAGCAAGCAGGCGGGGGCACTGAATTATTTTAAAAATAAGACTGTATTACTATTATTGTAATAAAAACATAACATCTGCATTAATGGTGAAACTAATGCTGCTTAATGTAACCAGGTATCCTGTTACTTCCATAAGAATAACAGAGCCAACCGCGAGCATGTGTGGGTCTTAGACATACATATTTATTATATTGAAACGTAGGCAAAAAGCAGCAGAGATCTCAGGGCTCTTTTTTCCTTCTGCATTACAGAGTAGCACAGATGCTTTGGGCAATGTCATACTAAAAGAATGCCATTTTCCCTGTTTCCCCACCCTCAAACCTCTTACACAATCATTTATTCTGCTCGATTGACTTTAAAAAAAAAGGTCGAGAGAAGCGAACATCTTCCAACCCCCTTTGGCTACTTCTGACTCAAATGTAAGCCTCTTCCCCAAGAACTGGAAATTCATAAGCACAAATCAGAGGAGTGCAACCGAGGCTAAGGTGCTATACATTGCCTGCCATTGAGAGGGGACTGAAAGCATCTTGAAAATCACAGTGAATGATACAAATGGAATGATTTGTAATGACTGTGAATGAAAATCACAGTGAATAATTCTTGAACACTACATCTGAAACCAATGATGTTGGCTAATTGAATTTAAATAAAAAAAAATCACAGTGAATGATTTCAAATGGTCCTTGAAACAAAAAGGACTTGACATAATAATATCATAGGGGAACATTCGTAGGTATTTTTGGAGGCTTCTCTGTTTTCCCGGTCACATTTTGCCTATCAAATTGATAAGAGAACTTTAAGTGTAAGTATCTTGGCCATGAAGCAAAATAGTGCGAATGGGAGTCAGGAAACTTGGAATCGAATTTCAGTTCTGCCATTATCCAGCTAGTTAAAATTCTTTACATTTTGCGGCAAATGGTTCCACCTGAGCCAGGTAGGGTGGGACTGGGGTGAGTTCTCTCTGGCAGGTAGGAAACCAGGAGTTCTCAGCCTTTGCTAGGCATTAGAGCTCCCGAGGAGCTTACAGATATCCTGGTGCCCAGGTTACACCCGAGATCAATGAAATCAGCCCATGTAGGTGGGACTGTGGCCCACGCCCCAGGTGACTACAATGTATGCCTCCAGCTGAGGCCCACTGGATTGCAGGATGAATGCTGGGAGAGTGCGTGTGAAGCTTGGTGTGGACGATACGAGGAAGGAGAGCGGTCCTGCCTGGCACTACGTTGGGAAGTCAACTAAGTGGGAACGCGGAATGTGGCCTGCAGAGTCTGCCCGGGGCGAGAGGCCGAATAGGGTCCAACACGGGGATCAAGGTATTGTAAAGCTACACACAGTGCCACGTTTGTCTTTGCGGGCTCCGGTCTCATTTTGATGTCACCAGGCTTGCCCCCCTTTCTCTGTGGGCTTCTCTAACACTCGTATTTGGCAAAAATCATTGGATTTCTCTGTTCTACAGAGTGGCCAGCAGAAAGGCACTATTAACTTGATGTTATCATTTGACTGTGTTAAAACACAAGGTGAGTACAATATATTTGTGTCTATTTTCTTGCCTTCTGAGAACTTAGAAATCCTTTCCTCTCTCCATCTAATCAAACCTCACCTGTTTTTCAAGTGCAACTTAAGGCCTACCTCCCCATCCTAGCTCTTCTTAATGCTCTCATTTCAACTCCTAGAGCATTCCTAGTAGATACCATTAAATATTTAATTGAATACCACCTTATATTGTTTGCCTAAACAATCTTCCTAGGAGTCTAGCCTCCCTAGAAGCTTATCGGAGACTCTAGCTTAGCATATGTTTATCCCTCCTTAAGTCCTGTGCGTGAAATGTGTTCTGTAAGTATTTGGTCATCTTAGTTGCCTGTCTGTTCATTTTCCTTGGCCTATCTTATCATTCTTTTTTTTTTTTTTTTTTTTTTTTTTTATTCATGAGAGACAGAGCGAGAGAGAAAGGCAGAGGGAGAAGCAGGCTCCCAAGGAGCAGGGAGCCTGATGTGGGACTCGATCCCAGGACGCTGGGATCATGACCTGAGCCGAAGGCAGACGCTTAACCATCTGAGCCACCCAGGCGCCCTATCTTATCATTCTTAAAGGGACATGACTACAGGCACTCAGACTGTCCTAGCTGTGGCTGCCAGAAGGTCTTACACAAGGTTTTGCTTCTAATAGCCCCCTGGAAGGCATTCCTATACTCTTTCAGTAGCAGCAGTGAAATCCTTTTGGGCAGAAGGATTCTGGGAAAAGCACATAGTCTTAGGTAGCCTGGGTAAGTGTGTTCCAGGTGAAAGAAGCCAGGTCATCATCAATTACGGACAACCACTTGCAGTTAAGCCAAGGTAACTCCTAGAATCCCAGCTGCTCTTCAGGAAATCCCAGGCTCAGCTCTTCCCTGAAGCTTTTAAAGTCATGCAGTTGAACAGAACTTTCTGCAGTGATGAAATGCTCTCTATCTGTGCTACCCCAAATAGGCACTTGAAATGTAGTCAGTATGATAAAGCAACTCAATTTAAAATTTTATCTTAATTACAGTTAAATCAGCCACACATGGCTAGAGGCTGCCATCTTGGATAATGCAGCTATAGAGAGATGTAAATTAGAATAATGGAAAACAGCAGGACTGGGTGGATCAGGAGCAAGAGCATTTCCTCTAGCTAAGGGTCCTGAGGTATTTCCTTCACTTTTACCACCGAGAAGGCTCTCTGCATTGAGGGAGAGCCAGTCAGTGGCTTCCACAGTCCAGAACCAGGATCCAGTGCCGAGGAAGGTGGCTGCAGTTAGCACTACCATATATTGAATGTCCACGTTTCCCAATGGTTGAGGAATGGGCTGTTTGGAATCCCTGAATGGTAGAAAACATCTAGGAATTCCATCTATCGACATATAGTTGAGGTAAGTAAAACCTATAGGACCAAGATATCTTACCCAAGGTCAAATGAAGTCGAATATTTCTGCTAAAAAAGTTATCCCTTCTATTAAAACAGGTTACCAGTTCTCAAAGTTACAATGCACAGAAATATAATTAACACTAAAACCAAGTTGAATGCAATTTAATCTTTGTTATTCAAGACATTTTGTGACTTCTCAGTGCCTGAGGGTCATGATGAACAGCAGGTCTGGGAGCCTAACATGCATTTGTTGTCCTATAACAAAACCCAGCCGTTGCTTTTTTGAATTAAGTCCCTCATATTAACCTTTTGACTTGTCACTTGTGGCTTTGTCATAAAAGAGGACAGAAGAATACAGAAAATTCCTGTTGTTCAAGCTAGCTGGTGGTTTAAATCCCATCTAAATGGGGATAATGGCCTTGAACATAGAAAATTAATGTTACAGTCCCCATTTATGAGTCCCGCTTATCTGAGAGTGGAGGTGGGTAGGAGGTAAGAGGTCGCTGGTGGTAATCCAATTTTCTTCCATTCTTCCTGTATGAGACACATATTGTTTATTTGCTTTGGGTCCTAGGGTACCCTGTATTTGGACATGTGGCCAGGCATTCTAATCAATATAGCCAGTAGTTTTAGTCAGTCGTCCTTCAGCAGAATTCAGGAAGGGACAAATTTCACATCATTATATATAACCTGGAAAACGCTGGTGACTACTTTTTGATCTCTGAAAACTAAATCTTAATGCACAATCAGTTGACTGTCCCACAGTAATCTAACAGACAACCTAACCTTTTTTGTTAAGATGATGAGTACTCTAGGGGCGCCTGGGTGGCTCAGTCGTTAAGCGTTTGCCTTCGGCTCAGGTCATGATCCCAGGGTCCTGGGATCGAGCCCCGCATTGGGCTCCCTGCTCGGCGGGAAGCCTGCTTCTCCCTCTCCCACTCCCCCTGCTTGTGTTCCCTCTCTCGCTGTGTCTCTCTCTGTCAAATAAATAAAAATCTTAAGAAAAAAAAAATTAAAAAGATGAGTACTCTAATATACTGCTTTTCAAGCCATCTGTAGCAAAGGCTGTTTTTTTCTTTTTTCCATTTTCAATCCACTGTGGACTAATAATTCTGTAAAATATAACAACAATGAAATAAAAACAGAAAAGACTTCTACAAAATACCAGGCTTAATTTATTATTACTATTATATTCATCAGCTATAGCATTATTCTGTCAAATGCTATAACTGTTGCTAATTGCTTACTCTTAATTCCTGTTCAGACCCAGTGACAGTTTACGGCCCGGCCTGAGGATCAGACTTTGAGCGGCCTGGGCTCTAACACACCGCTTCTGTCACACAGCTTAATATCTGCCCATTCTGCAAGGAAAACACACAGCTGCTTATATTAGAGGTGGGTTTTTTTTTTTTTTTCTTTTTAAAGGAAGCTCTATGCCCAGTGTGGGGCTTGAACTCAGGACCCCAAGATCAAGAGTCATGTGCTCTACCGACTGAGCCAGCCAAGCGTCCCTAGAGAGTTTTGAGAGTGTCATGTTCAGGGTAAGTAAGACCAGGTAGTTTCTTGAAGGTCTTCTCACTTGGCTGATTTCAGATCTGGGTCATTTGGGTCCGCACCTGTTCAGGGCTTCTTCCCACCACATAAGAAGCAGGCTCTTTGGGCTCAGACTGGGCCACTGCATCTCGAACTTTTTTTTTTCTACCCTGGCCCTCCTGAGCAGCCAGTTTTGGATATCAAGAAATAACATTTAGCTTGAATGGAATGATGGAGGAGGAAACAATTAAGAAAATCGGGTGAAGTCCTATGAAAGGTATTCTCACAGACTCTTTGCCCTGCCAAGAAGACTTTCATTTTCTTTTCTTTCTTTCTTTTTTTTTTTTTTAAAGATTTTATTTATCCATTCATGAGAGACAGAGAGAGAGATGCAGAGGCAGAGGGAGAAGCAGGCTCCCCGTGGAGCAGGGAGCCCGATGCGGGACTCGATCCCAGGACCCTGGGATCATGACCTGAGCTGAAGGCAGACACTTAACCGACTGAGCCACCCCGGTGTCCCAAGACTTTCATTTTCTTTCTTTTTTTTTTTTTTTTAAAGATTTTATTTATTTATTTGAGACAGAGAGAATGAGATACAGAGAGCATGAGAGGGAGGAGGGTCAGAGGGAGAAGCAGACTCCCTGCCGAGCAGGGAGCCCGATGCGGGACTCGATCCCGGGACTCTAGGATCATGACCTGAGCCGAAGGCAGTCGCCCAACCAACTGAGCCACCCAGGCGCCCCTCTTTTTTTTTTTTTTTAAGATTTTATTTATTTGACAGAGAGAGACACAGTGAGAGAGGGAACAGAAGCAGGGGGAGTGGGAGAGGAAGAGGCAGGCCTCCCGCTGCGCAGGGAGTCCGATGTGGGGCTCGATCCCAGAATTCTGGGATCATGCCCTGAGCCGAAGGCAGATGCCCAATGACTGAGCCACCCAGGCGCCCCAAGACTTTCATTTTCTATGATATCTGCCTGGATTTGTAATCTGAAAATATCACTTCCAATTCTCCTTGGGCTGTGGCCTTGGGGCCACGACTCAGGTGACTACTGACTGTACAACTCCTTAACGACTTCAAGTGTTTCATGATTACATGTTTCGCTGGATGCATATTGATGGACTGCTTAATAGTCCTTGTCACAATATCTTGGCAAATAATTCCCCTGAGCTCAATATAAGCTGTTTTGCATGTGCCGTCAGTCTTACTTCACCAGAGCTTGGATTTTAGTTTGTTGCAGGGTGGTCGTAGGTAAGTTAATGTTGCTAAGAAAACCGGAGGAAATTTTCTACCTGTTTTTCTTTTGTTCCATCTGTTAATTTTTATCTTGAGTCATTTCACGATTTTGGTTTCTACTTGGAATTTGTCATCTGAAAAAAACTGCTATATAGCCGGTTGGCTATTTTGTTTAATAAGAATATAGTTCACCATGGAAAAGTATCATGAATGGATAACAACAGTTTCTATTATAAAAAAGGTATTTTTCTTTTGAAGAAATCTGAGAATATTATGCAACATGTTTAAGCTTAAAGAAATCTGTGTCTAAAGATTCCAGGTGGTCTAAGCAAAGTCACCCGTATGGGTTTTGGCTGAAGCCATGCTTTCTCATCCTCTCTGTATGGACACCCAGGCTAGAACCGAGCGCGGGGCTGAAGGGCCGACAGCTGCACTGGGGCACTGCAGACATAAACAGCTTGCCCAACGGTACAGATGCCACTGTACACGGTCGTGCCCAGACCAGAATAAAACCAACGGCACTGTTGCTTTATCAAACTCCTGACTGTGCCATTTCCCCAAATACAGCCCTCTGCTGTCTATTCCTCTCACATCCACTCCTGACGGTTGTATGATTCACTTCCCAAGTTCAGTTCCACAACTCAAATATTTTCTATTTTGCGTTTCTCTTTGCCTCAAATTCAACAGACCCAAAATAACACCGATCTCAATCTTCGAATTGGATGAGATCCCAGGGGACATCCAATTTTGACTTTCATGGCTACATGAATAGCATTTATGAAGCTTCCAAGAGGGGTTCTCTAATCTCTCCTTTTACGACTCCAGCTCGAGGGAACTCCCTCTCTTCCCAGAGCAGCCATTTTTGGTACTTTGCTTCCAATACCAATTCTCTGTCCATGTTTCCCCGGCCAGGAAATATCCTCCTCTTTCCAGTTCCCAAGCCCGTTAAGTCAGCAGCATCTGATGACTCCCCAGGCCCTTCATTTCTAATCAAGTACAGGATCGGTCAGGCCTACAGCTCCCTCTCCAAGCCCCATAATTCTTAACACGTACTAGGTTATCAATAATTAATGGATGATTAACTGACACTTCAGAGTTCAACCTTAGAAGATGTGCGTTTCTTACTTTGAATCTTGTGCTTCATGTGATGTTTTTGACCAAACAGCTAGATGAGAATTTCATCAGGTTAATCCTAAATTAGAAATAAAACTACAGCTCATTAGCAGATGAAATGATAATTGTATAGTTTGTACATCATTGAAAGATGCCTGTGGAGAGAAGAGTGCTGTATACAATGGGAAATGACATTGCAGAGAAATTTTGGTAAAACTGACCCAGCTCACAGGAGTGAACTCGTTCTTTTAAATCTCTCAGATTTTTCTTATCCTTTAGTGTGTAGACTGAGTCTAGCTTTCCTAAAATAAACTTTAGTGTTCTGCCAGAATGCTAGCATCTTAAAATTTCATTAAACACGCAAACATTGAACCTTTGGTAGCCAATTTTATTTTCAAATGAGTTCAGCCGGATGGATAGGAATAGGGACTATCGTATCTTACTGTCATTTCCTTACATACCTGAAAACAGAACCATGCCTAAGGATTAGTTAGAGGTAGTTCATTAAGGCCCAGATTCCTTTCTGATCCAAGAGCTAGTATTAGAAGAAATAACTTAGAGATGAGTGAATCACCACTCATTAGACCAAGTTTCCAAAAGCTGTGTTGCAGCAAAAATTGCTAAAAACCGGGTGACTTCTGCTGTTTAGAAGCCAGAGTATAGAAACCCAGTGGAGTAGGCAAATTCCTCTCACTTCTCACCCTTCACTTAGAAGCTCAGTAAGTTAAAGGAATGCAGCATTAAGCTACTTCCCAGAGGACTCAGTGAGGTAGAAACGAATATAAAGGATAAGGAAAAAGACCCTCTCCTATTTCAATCTTTAACAACCATACAAAGCGGATACTCAAGCAAAGTGCATGCACATGCGTGTTCACAGCAGCACCGTTCACAACAGCCAAAACGTGGAAACAGCTCAAGTGTCCATCAACAAACAAGTGGATAGACAAATTATGGTCTATACAATGGGATATTATTCAGCCACAAAAGGAATAAAATAGATACATGCTATAAGGTAGATGAACCTTGAGAATATTATGCTAAGTCAAAGAAGCCAGACACAAAATGTCATGTATCTTATGATTCCATTTAGAGGAAATCTCCAGAATAGATCAATCCACAGAGACGGAATGCAGATTGGTGGATGCCAGGGGCAGGAGGCTGGGGGGTGGGGTATGGGGGGAAACTGCTTAATGGTAGGGAGTTTTACTTTGGAATGACAGAAATGTTCTGGAACTAAGAGAATGGTGGTTGTCCAACATTGTGAACGTACTAAATGCCACTGAATTGTTCCCTTTAAAATAGTTAAAAAATAAAAACCAAGTCTTAAAACCAGACCCTTGCCTCTAGAATCCTCTCCACTGTCCTTTACACTTACCTTGCATACCATGGACGTCTTTGCTCCAAGCCTGGCAGCTTGGACACACTGGTTGGCACCTTTCCCTCCAAAGCCAATAAAAAACTTATGTCCATGGATGGTTTCTCCGGTTTTGGGCAAACGAGAAGTAAGACTGCCATAATTTAAAAAGAGAAGGAAAAAAAAAAGGCACCTTGGTAACTGCAATCAATTTAAGTTCAGAAGAGAGAGGGAAGGTTCTCTGATGAGTCTAGTCTTAGCCATCAGAAATGCAAGCAGAAGTAGAGAAGATCACCTTTTCCTTTAAGATAACACTTGGTAGTTGGCCTCGATATCCAGAATGCATCTGCTGACAGGATGCCTGCCCATCCCCCCACAGTCCCACCGCTGCGCTCCTAGAGCCACTTTAGTTTCTATTGTCGGCTGCATCAGGGGTGTTCATGCATGCCTCCATTTTTCATCATGGGGAGCTCTTGGATGGAAGTCCTTTCCAATTCCCACTTCCCAGCACAGACCTTTATTCACAGTGGGACTTGTACGTGGGACCAAGTTAATGTGTGTTTCTGTACTGGTTTATCTGGTCACTTTAACAAGAAGTAGGAAGTGTACCAGGGCTCTGGTAACCAGGTTCAGAAAGGACCTAAGGAGAAGAGGGAAGTTGCAGTTCTAGGCGCTAAGGAATCCCATTTGTTTCCTGGCAGGTGGGGCAGGAGTGGGTTATTATTTTGATGGCAGGATAGGTGTTAGTCCCAGTCCATCCTGTATCCCACCCATTTCAGGTACTGACTCAAAAAGAGCATCTATTCTTAAAAAATGGAGTCTAGAGAGCTAAGTTTAGTTGAAAACTTTTACTACAGAAAATTTCAAACCTATAAAATTAGAGAAAACAGTATATTGACTTCCCCACCCCCATGCACTCATCACCCAGATTCAACTGTTATCACCTCCTAGCCAACCGGTTTCAGTCTCTACCATCGTGCACTTCTCCAAGAGCTAAGGATTTTCGCTCACCTGTTACTGCCTGGTGAGGGTAGTAGTAAAGGAGACAAAAGGTCAGAGTAAAAGGTTTCCTCCAGGTCTGATTTTCATAACATTAAACTGGAAGATGTGAGGAAACATCTTTGAAGGACAGAAGATGTGAAAATGGAAAGGGTGAGTGTGAGTGAGTGAGTGAGGAAGATGGGCTTGATCAGCATGAGGACTGGATGGCCAGAAAGAAGTGGGCCGAGGGCCAGATGGAGCGATGGCAGGTGTGACCAAAAAGGTTAATTAGCTTTAGATGGGAAAGAAAGGCCAAGAGGGAAGTTCACGACAGTAAGTCGATTGAGAACCTACCCTGTTTTGGCAGATCTGAAATTTATATTCATTTCCCACCTAGGCTGTGATCTATCTGAAATCAGTCTCTTGTGCCTAATCTTAGAGTACCCGGACAATGCCAGTTCCCACAGGTCACTAACAGCCTGTTTGCAATGGAATGATCTATGACTGATGCCAAGAACACACGATGGTGTTGATAATGACCAAGTTCAACCTGTGCATCTCCTTTATGTAGTTCTAAAAGTCTCAGTAAATTGGGCTAACCTACTCCATTCCCTAACACTGCAGTGTCAAATATGGCTATTTGAGATTCAAAAGAGACTCATCAATAATTTGAAAACATTCTATTCCACTCCTCCCCTTTTCACTGCTATTTTTACCTCCAATTCTAAATGCATTTATAGTACTGATGAAAAAAAATATCCATCTACAAGGTTCACTTCTGAAAAAGGTACTCAATCAAGAGAAAAATGGTTTTAATGTAATGTTATTATCCTGTCATTTAATTTAGCAATGACAAGTGATGATGAGATTTTGATTTGCATCAGAAATCTTAAACATTTTAGGATTCTGTTATGAACAGGCAATGATGAGTAATCTGTGCGACTGAGTAACTATGTGACTTCTTGGCTTATTGATATGCTGCTACAAACATCCTTAACAACCTTAAAAAGAAAAAAATATCCAATGTGGCTAAAAACAGGCCAAATAACTTAATTAGTAAGACTGTCGGTATAGAAACTTATGACTTCCACTATGTTTATACTTAGATCTGGGTCCCAGTCCTCTGGTTTGAATCAAGTATATTTTTTATTATTGGCTGTAGGAAATCATGAAAAATATAGCAGCAGATGATTATTGGGATGTGTATATATGGGACGGAGGAGTGAAATCGGGGGTACAGTGTTGTGTTTGATGTGGGAGCAGATGGCTGGGATTTAAAACTCCTTTCTAAACAGCTTATATTAACACAAGCACTGCACTAACTTAGCCATCACTAAAATTTCTCCCTCCTTTGGAATTCTACTCTTTTCTTTCTGCATCTCTGCCCTACTCTTTCTTTCTTCCTTCAATTGTAGACTCTCCCTGTATGGGGACAAGGACCAAGTCTGCCATTTTATCCAGAGTGCCTGCCACTTAGCATGGGCTTAACATATTTTTTGACTGAGTGAATTTTTTAAAGAGACTTCCCCTGTCTCCCTGAAGGGTAGCAGAATATGAATGGAGGAGCTCAGGACACACTGGCCAAATGTACCACTTTGGTATAGTGCTAATGTTGGGCTGTCGGCCAGTGAAAAGTAGCCAATGGAGGGAGAGGCTTTCTCTGAACTGCCCCTTATCTGCCTCAAGACCAGTCCCCCCAAAAGACTCAACAGCCATGAATCCCCTCCCTGGGAGTTTCATCAACCAGCAAGGACGGACTCGTGTCACAGACAAGAAGTCAACACCACACCCAGACAAACGTCACAAACATCCTCATACCTCCTATTTAGTCTACTGAGGGCCAGTTCATCTTTCCTAAGTCATTTACTCTCCCCTAAGAGGCCTCCCACTGCCCTTCCCTATCAAGAAAGTTGAATTCTTAATCACCTTGGAGAGTCACTCCTTTTCCCCTGGGCATCACCCATGTATACCTGGGGCATACAGGTTAATACATTTGTTTGTTTTTCTCTTGTTAATCTGTCTTTTATTACCATGGTCTCAGCCAAGAAGTGAGGAGAGAAAATTAGCCCCTCACTTCCACCTCTCTTTTCTGTGTCTCCCCTGGGTAGCTTCCATTTCCTACTTCTGAAATGCGGATGTGGCGGGGTTGATGAATGGGAAGGAGACTGGTGGGGATATTCAGTTGTCTGGCAACGACAATCCCATGGTTTACCAGACCTTGCCCACTGCATTCACAAGTATTAGCAGCACTCCTCTCCTATAAGTAGGAACTCTAACTAGAAAACAGACTATCATTCTTCATTCATGTGTTAATTCAACAAATGTTAAATCGGTGTTTTCCAGTCTACCTCTATGGGACAAAAGCAACTTGCTGACAATGTAATAAATCCTAACCCTAATGCAAGCAATATATGAGTGGAAAAAAAATGTCTGAGCACAAGATTATTATGATCTGATTCATTTTTTTTTCTTTTAAAGATCAAATTGGCTTTATTAAGCGATCTGTGAATCGGGCAGCATCTAACAGGTAGAGGGGAGCGCCCCAACTCATGTTTCTTAAAGATAAAAAGATATATGTATATGTTGTCATAATATGTAAATGCACAGAAAATGAAATGTTAATGATAGGTATCCATGAAAAGGGTGGAGAGAGGGAGCGAAAGTTCATGTTTTACTTTATATACAGAGATATACGCAACAAGAATATATTTGTGCATTATGGGAAGCCATTTGTTACTACTTCAGATTCATCTGGCTTCTCAGCATCTTTTCCCAGCTACCTGGGCTGGTAGCTGGCTCCTTGTAGGTGCAACCTAACACAGCCTTGCCCAATGCCACTCTCTTTCCATTCCAGGGTTTCTGTTCCTTGGTCATAGTTCCCCGGCTGTCCGCAGCAGGTAACCAGTTAAACACATCAAGCATCTTTGTATAGGCTTTTCTTGCTCCCTGGATTATAGCCGTGCACAGATTATATGCTCTTAGACCTTTGCCTTGTGACCTTTCTGTTGAACCCAGACTAAGTTTACTGCTTATTTTATTTTATTTTTTTAAAGTAAATGGAATGGAAAGCGGAGTTGAGAGCAACTAGAAAGTTAGTTACAGACAGGCAGAAGCATTCCTGAGGGGCGCCTGGGTGGCTCAGTCAGTTAAGTGTCTGCCTTCGGCTCAGGTCATGATCCCAGCGTTCTGGGAGTCCTGGGATCGAGCCCTGCATCGGGCTCCCTGCTCGGTGGGGAGCCTGCTTCTTCCTCTCCTCCCCGCTCAGTGTTCTCACTCACTATCTCTGTCTCTGGCTCTCAAATAAAAAAAAAAAAAAAAAAAAAAAAAGCATTCCTGAATTATAAATCCTAATTTACCTTGAACTAGGCTTTCCTATCTCTTTCCTTATTAAAATCATGAAATTAAGGTCTGGCTCAAGAAAGGACCTGCACAACGCACCATCCCCTCGATGAAAGCATTAATATGATTTGCCCCAATTCAAACATGAGGTTTAGCAGGGTGCCACGGGCAAGGGGTTAAAAGGAAAATAAAAAGGGAGCAGTATACTGGTAGTAATACACTGTTGCTACCCTTTAAAAATTAAAAATTGAGTGAAGTTTCTGAATGAGGGAGAAACCGCAGACAGAGAAAACCAATCATAAGAAATATATTTGAATTTAAAACAAATTCATAGCTTTAAAAATGTCACATTTTAAATTCGCACAGGAGGAAACACTGCTAAATGTTCAGATGGCCCCGCAGTCTTCTGGGCTCTGAGAGGTCACGTGGCTAGAGCCTAGTTGCGCAAGGCATCAGGCCTGAGCCACTTACTGATTGTATTACCTTTGACAGCTTTTCCCTCTTTGAACCAGCTTCTTCTCTTGCAAAACGGGTTTAATAATACTTGTCAACTCCTTAAATGCCTGGGTTTTGTGCTCGGAGTTATTTCACTGACAGGTGTTATCAGAACAACTAATCAATTGCTTTTAGCTTCTTGACAATGATGTGCTTGTTACAGATTCTCAGCGATGATTCATAGCAAAGGAAGGAATGACCTGGTGAAACAGGGATGAGAAGTCTTTCCACCAAAGAGGTCACACTCTCCCGGCTCCAGCCCAAAGTCGAGGAATGATATGTTGCTTTTTGGCTTTTTGCGTTCCATCCTTTCTTCTGCCTGCAAGCTTGTGACACCCTGTATGCCTCTAGAATAGGGGATTGTACTATTATTGCCCAATTAAAATTCATTACACCCATTTATTATTCCTATTGCCTGTACTCTTCAGCTGTATCTGTTCTGCTCAGCATTTGTGTATGTCACATTTATAGGAATGCATGTCATTTCCAAACCAACCTAGTGATCTCTTTCTAGCTCTGTAAAAAACAAAAAAACAGCTTCAAATCTTCATTCTGTGGTTCCTAACCCTAAATCTGCAGACACAGGATTTATTTAAGGGAATGAAAGCTGAATTATGCTTTAAACCATTAAAAAACAAACAAACAAACAGATTTTGATTATTAAGTCCTATTTTTCCTAGCTAACCAGTCTGGGGCTAAAAAGTAGTTTTGCCTGAAGATGTAGCTATCCTTGAATTTATAGAATAGATACGAAGAATATTGTTCACAAGTGGCCAGCTTTTCAGAGTGTCCTATCCTTGAACCTTATTTAAATTTTGCTTGTGTGAAAAAGTGTGAGAGGCACGGGGAGAGCCAATAAAGAGGAGTATATTATGGTCTTACATGGCTGCCTTCCTTCCCATCTCTGCTCAGATGATACCTCCTTGGAGAGGCCTTCCCAGACTACCTTACAGGAGATGTCCCTATTCCTAATTTTTGTTAAGTATTCATGCATTCTGACAAGGAATACTATGTTTCTGGATCAGAGACAGCTTTTTAATTACTCATAATTGTGTTAGCTGTGTCCCAATCTCCCCCAGGGTGACATGAGAGGAACTTCCAAATCATGAATTCTTGGGAGTTTATATAAAAGCTGACACAGCTGTTACTTCTCCCCTCTGGGGTGGGGAAGGAGAGGGAGAAAACACGGCCTAGTGACCTTGGCTTTGTAATATAAACGAATCCTCTCAGGGGAGCGAAGGGGTGGGAGATCTCTAGATTTACAGCCCCTAGAATGTAAATAAATGTGTTCAAGGAAGAAGTCCATAAATCTCTCGAAAAGTCTCTGACTTGCAAGGTTTGTTTGCCATTCAAACATTCTTTAATCCTGGTGCTAGTGATCTTTGCTCAGAAAGTCCTGATGATGCAGAAATGTGAGAGCATTCATGGGAAGAACATTCATGGTTTCCCAACGATTTTCTTCAGATCAATAGCACTGTCTTGACATTGTAATATTTATTTCTCTCCTCTCTCCCTATCTTCTTTTGGATTAATTGTATTCCATTTCATCTTCACTACTGATGTTATTAACTCCCTTTTTTTTTTTAAAGATTTTATTAAGTAATCTCTATACCCAATGTGGGGCTCGAACTTACAGCCCTGAGATCAAGAGTTGTGTGTTTCACCGAATGAGCCGGCCAGGCGCCCCTCCCTTTTTTCTATTTTAAAAAGTGATTGATCTGAGGTTTACAACGAGCATCTTTAACTTACATGGCTTATTTTCAAGCATTACCACTTTATTTGTAAGTGTAATTTATTCTTCCATTTCCCTTCCTAATCTTTGTGCTAGTATTGTTACCTATTTTACTTCTGTAGGATATAAACCTTACAACACTGTGCTATTAGTTTTAATTTAAACTATCAATTGCCTTTTAAAGAAATTAAGAAATGGAGGAAAGAAGTCTTTGTATTTGCCGGTATATTAACCATTTCTGGGGCTCTTCATTCCTTTGGGTAGATCTCAGCTTCCATCTCGTATCATTTCGGTTCTGCCTAAAGAGCTTCCTTCAGTATTTATTGTAGTGCGTGTTTCTGGTGATAAATTCTCTCAGCTATTGTTTTTCTGTCTTTATTCCCCCTTCATATTTGAAGGAGATAAAATTCTATGTTTACAGTTTATTTTTTAGGCACTTTAAAGATTTCATTTCATTTTTTTTTTTTTCCTGGCTTGCATTATTTCTGACAAAAAGCCTGCAATGAATCTTTGTTCCCTTATATGTAACGTCGGGTCCCCCCCCCCCCGCCCCCGATGCTTTTAAGAGTTTGTTTATAATTGGTTTGCAGGAATTTGATTACAATGTGCTTTGTGGTTTACAGTATGCTTATCTTGCTTGGGGTTCATTGAAATTCTTAGATCTATACATTTATAGTTTTCATAAAATTTGAAAAATTTTCAGCCATTATTTCTTCAAATATTTTTTGTGCCTCAACTACTCTTCTTAGACTCCAATTACACAAATGACATACTCCTTGTCCCAGATCACGAAGACTGTATTTTGGTCATTTTTTCCTCTATGCTTCAATTTAGATAATCTCTCTTACTGTCTTCAAGTACACTGATCCTTTCTTTTGTAATGTCTACTGATAAGCCCATCAAGTGAATTTTTCATTTCAAAAATTGCATTTTTCATTTCTTAAACTTCTATTTCGTTCTTTTATGTATCTTCCACTTTTCTCCTCACTACATTCATGTTTTTCTTTAAATCACGGAGCATTTTATAATGGCCCTTTTACAATCCTTTTCTGCTAATTCCACCATCCCGACCATTTCTCTATGTCAGTTTTGATTGGTTATGGATTACATTTTCTTGATTCTTTGCATGCTATTGATTTTTGAATGAATGCTGAATACTGCAAATGTTACACTGTTGTCTTAATTTTGTTGTATTTTTCAAAGGGTTGAACTTTGCTTTTTTTGGGCAGCTAAGTAACTCATCTGTTTGGTCCTTTTGAGGATTGCTTTTGAGATTTATTAGGGAGAGTTTAAAACAGCCTTTAGTTTAGGGTAAGTTTACCCCTTTTACTAAGTTGTGGTCCTTCTGGGATCTCTACTGAATGCTCCAGGGGTTCAATAATGTCTCTGGCCAAATAGAATGCAGTACCTCCCATTCCTGTATAACTTCTGGGAGATGTTCAGCTTAGAGCTCTCTAGTAGTGGCCCAGCTTTGTGGAGTCTCTATGTATGTCCATGTAGTGTTTAGCAACAGACTAAAAGGGACTCCTAAGCAGACTTCTGGACCCTTCCTTGATTAGCTCCTTCCTCTCCAGTACATGTTCCCACAAATTCTAGCCACCTTAGTCTCCCTAAGCTATGAACTCGGTTTTCTCAACACACTGACATTGCCATACTTCCTTGGGTTTCTTTTCGCTGTGCCATGGTTAGTAATGCGCCTCCGGAACTCACCTGTTTATTTCCTTTCTCGTCGGGATAACATGCCTGTTGTCTAACATCTGACTGAAACAGCTGCTTCATTTATTTTGTCCCTTATATATCCCATTTTCTTGTGGTTTCTGGTGGGAAGGTAAGTCTGGTACTAGTCACTCTATCATGGTCAGAAGTAAATATTTTTTTTTTAGAAGATTTATTTATTTTAGAGAGGGAGAGAGGAAGAGAGCGCAAATGGTGGGGGGGTGGACAGAAGGAGAGGGAGAGGGAGAATCCCTGCTGAGCACGGAGCCTGACACAGGGCTTGGTTCCTGAGATCATGACCTGAGTGGAAATCAGGAGCAGGCTGCTTAACTGACTGAGCCACCCAGGTGGTGTCCCCAGAAGTAAATATTTTGAATGGATGGTCTACACCTTGAAAGACATTTATAGAGATAGCTGAGATGACAGATGCCTGCGTACATCACAGAGTGAGGTGAGTGCAGTGCAGAAGTGCTGTGTATGAGCGTAGCCCAGGGAGACAAGTAAACCAGTTATTAAAAAGCAATATGGCCTGAATAAAGGAAACAAAAAGGGGCCGCATCCTCCTTCATCCCTCTGACACAGGATTGAAGAATGAGTACAGAAGGCACCGGGAGAGGCATATAGGTCAAATAGTTAGAAACATATTTAAAAATGAAAATGCCATCTGATGTCAACCAATCTTTTTGAATAATTATACACAGACCTCCTCCCTCCCAGCTGAGCAAAGTTCTGGACAAGGAAGAGAAGCTTGGATAGAGAGGTAGAGAAGGAGCTAATCCTGGAGCTAGAATGTGCGGGAGGAGAGGGCAGGAGAAATATGTGTGTAGGGGGATGAGTGAGAGGGGACTGGACAACTAGAGGATGCAATAAGGTATGTGGGAAAATCAGGATGCAGAAAAATAGAGCAGAAAGGGAACTGGTGAGACTAAAGCATTCATCGAAGTTCCTGATGAGAAACATTTTAATTCATTGAAGAAGGCAAGTATGAATAGTGACAAATAACTACAAAACCGGTATTTTATTTTCTGTTTTGCCAGTTAATTATAGTAAACTTTAAATTTCAAAATGACTTCTGTCACCACACTGTAATTATCTAGGCTACTTCTTCCTGCCATCTGCTGGTGTAGGTTAAAGAAATACAAATGGAATTAATTTTATCCTAAGCAAAATATAATTAGAAAGATAAATCAGTGTACAAAAAAATAATGTATTCTGGAATCAATTATTAAAAATTTTAACTTATCTACAATTTTTGATGTTTGGTGCTCATGCTTCTTTCACATTCCCATCATCATGAATAATCAAGAACAGATTACATTTGAACTTCACAATAACGTTTGTAAGATGGGTTAGAGTAGGCGTTATCTTCACTTTGGCAGCCAGTGAGCTACGTGAGATATCATTCTTGTCCTTTGAGCCCTTCACTGGTTCCCAGGGCCTAAGGAATAAAACCCAAACACCTTAGCATGGCTGATGAGACCTTTCTGTAACATCTAATCTCTGATGCTCTACGGACCCAGCAGCGGCTGTCCCCGGCACGCTCCATGTACGCCCACGGCCCTGACTTTGCTCCTTGGGTCATCCCAGCTGGCCAGAAGGTACCCCCTCCTCTTTTCTGCTGGGTTAGCACCTGCTTGTTTTCTAAAGCTTGGCTCAGGAGGCATCCATCCCATCCAGGCAGTTTTCCCTGTACTCCCACAGAACCTGCAGGCGCTAACTGCATCACACTACAATCATCTCTCTTTGTGTCTGTCTTCTTCTTTGGACTAGAAGTTCCTCTGGAGCAAGGATCATGTTTTACTAATTGCAGTATCCCTAGCACTTAGCACAGTCCCAGTCTTTCAATAGTGTACACAAGTAACCAAGATACTGGACAGACATTCATCACGAAGCTCACCTCTGTCCTCTCCCAAGAGTGCAGACACTAGGGTGTGAGGAGCTGGAAAAGGAACGGATCACTAAAGGAACTTGTTTGTAATACCACACGGTAGTGTGCTTCCTTTGTCATGTGCAGCTTACTTTTTTGTTTTGTTTTACAGTTTACTTTTTTTTTTTTAAGATTTTATTTATTTATTTGACAGAGAGAGACACAGCGAGAGAGGGAACACAAGCAGGGGGAATGGGAGAGG